AAGGTAGCAGAGCGGGCTGTAAATAGTTTAGCAAATGAAAGAATATGAAATAATGAAAGGGACTGGAAACCAAGTCAGATTTTTAGTTGGGTTATGTAATGATGAAGCAGTCCCAGATTGTGTCGAAGGAGGAAGGAGCGTGAATACCACTGTGGCTGCGAGTGCAGCTACCTTACGTCTTAGAGGAGTTTGATAGCAGTGTTTCCATTTCCCTTTTCTTTATAAAAGGTGATTACCCAGAATAAAGAATTGCTGATGAGATCATGTTCATTTGAGTGCCTGACAGTGCTCTTGGGGTATTATTTTTGGCAGAGCCCCTTAACAAAGGGTAAAGTGCCATGGGCTGAAGCATGCACCCAGTCAATACTCGAGCACATGAGAGGTGCCAGGGTAAGGGGTGAGAGGCCTTTAACGCGCTGCGCTCTGTCAGTGACCCTTGTGCTGCACATCCCTCTGTGCCTTGAAGGCCTACTACCTGGCATGCCAAGGTAGAAAACTCCTGAGGGGAGGCTGGAGTGTTTGGAACTATTTGATTTGCCTATGACCACATTTTCTTGTTGCAAGAGCTTAGTTGGTGACTTTGCACACGAACAAAAAAATCTTTATTTCTAATCTTTATAAATGGCTTGTTTTTCTCCCCTGTGATATGGAGAAGATATCTGGTGTATGTGATGTGACATAGCTAGTTATTAGAGATGATCCTTTCTTACCGAAGGGCAAGTAACATTAAATATTTAGAAGGCTAGTAGTGTTTATCTCAAAAACCTCTGGTGCTAGGAAACAGCTGAGTGGCTTTTATTGACGCAGATACAGGGGCATCATTTATCTGCCTGCTTGGAAGGGAGACAGAAGAGACGCTGACTGTGGTCCAAGGAGACATATTAAGACTCAAGCAGCTTTGTTCCCAGGATGTTTCTGATTTGTTTGTCTAAGTAAGCCAAACCTCAGGAAAGGGTTGCTTTTTGATTTTTGTGGACTACTCCTTTGGCTAGAGTTGTGGAAGGTGGCAATTCATGATTTACAAGAAATGCATTCTGCTTCTGGGGATGGAAAAAGGAGCACATTTCCCACATTTATTACTCGTTTTGTATTTTTATCAGAAAAAGAAAACACATGCAGGAAGTGCATTCTTGGAGAGGTTGGGTGTGGTAGCAGCAACTTCAAAGATCCAACATGAACTGCTTGTTCTTCTTGCCCTGACAGTTTGCTTATCTGGTTGCCTTTATTTTAGAAATATATATATATATATATGTAGTCTCCTGTGTAAGGCAAGACCTGAGGATGATTAAAGTGCAGTGAATATGGGAAATTAGAGAACAGGCTTAGCTCCTGCATTTAAATATCTGAGGGGATAAAAAGATCTGATCTTTCGGTCCATTTGAGCACTATCGTTATCTTCTGCCTTTCTTCAATGTTTGGTGGTGCTGGCCTGAGATACAGTTGACTTTTACTGGGGATTTCTCATGAGGCTCTTGAAATGTCTGGGGCCTGTATTCCCAGCCCCTCTTGCTACTACCTGCCACCCTTGGTGAGCAGGGAAGGACTGGCAAGCCTGGTGACAGTGCTGGGATGGGCCTTCACGTGGCTTTAGAGGAGACCACCACCCCTGAGAGCCATGGACAGGTATTCCTCCTGCCTCCCATGCTGCTGCAGCAAGGGTTAGCTGATGGCTAGCAACCTCCTGACATGTGAGAAGTCCAGCTTATTTCTTGATGTGCCCCACTGGCTAATGGAGCAGCATCTAAACAAGGGTCCAGCATAGGACCACAAAGATGATTAAGGGACTGGAGCATTTGTCATATGAGGAAAGACTAAGCAAGCTGGGCCTGTTTAGTCTGGAGAGGAGAAGGTTGAGAGGAGATTTGGTTAACATGTTCAAGTACCTGAGGGGTGATTTTAGGGAACATGTGGCCAGGTTCTTCTCCGTGGTGGGTGGTGACAGGACGAGAGTGATGGGTGTAAGCTGAAACACAGGAAGTTCCTCCTCCATATGAGGAAGAACTTCTTTCCTGTGAGGGTGACAGAGCCCTGGAGCAGGCTGCCCAGAGAGGCTGTGGAGTCTCCTTCTCTGGAGAGCTTCAAACCCGCCTGGATGCCACCCTGTGCCACGTGCTCTGGGTGTCCCTGCTGGAGCAGGGGGGTTGGACTAGATGATCTCTAGAGGTCCCTTCCAACCTTAACCGTTCTGTGATTCTGTAATTTGGGCAATTCATTTCAGATCAACCCATTCTTAGTAAGTGTTCAAGGCAGCTCCAATAACACTGGGAACCACACTAGTGCAGAGAGGTTGTATGAGAGGTTGGCCCTTCTCAAATAGTTAGGCTTGGGAGTTGGTTTATCCTCCAGGTGCCCATCTCAGCCTAGCTGGAAAAAGATAATGTGTCTTGTGTGGTGTTTGCTTAGTGTGTATTTGTTTTCAGCTGCCTTGACTGATTAGAAGGCTGATTTAATGGCTCTGCTTTACTTGGTAAATCTTCCCATGAGCTCTCAAAATGAGATTTAGGCTGTTTCGAGAATGTGACTGCACAAACTAATCTATACTTCACGCATGTTTTTCCTCTTTGTTTCTGGTGAAATTTCTCCCCTCCTCTTTGCTAGTCAAAGAGCCTGGGGGAAGGATGACTAAGGTTGTGCTTTAGATTTAGGTGGTGATTTAGATTTTTAGAGTGGGAACAGACAATTGCAGGAAGCTGCC